GGGCTGGATTCAAACCCGCCACCTTAGGTGTATGTGGCTGGCGCCTTAGCCACTTGAGCCACAGGCGCCAAACCTAGACATTGCATTCTTAACTCAATGGAAATTGAAAAAATATATATTGAGCTATAAAACCACCTGCCTTATGGCTGGGATATGAGGAATAAGTGGATGGGCATAAGAGAAATGACTCCCTTAGTGCCTGGCGCAAGGTGGGTGCTTATGGAATAGCAGCACCAGCTCCCTGTGGCTGTGATGCTGCTAACCACACCTCCATCCTGAGGCTTCATTTCCTTGGACCCTTGTCCTGCTTTTTAACTTCTTCTTGTCTTTTGTAGTCTTCTTGTCTGCTTTCTTTTTCTTTCTTTCTTTTTTTTTTCCCAGACAGAGTCTCAGTATGTTGCCCCGGGTAGAGTGCTGTGGCATCAACCTAGCTCACAGCAACCTCAAACTCCTGGGTTTACATGATCTTCCTGCCTCAGCCTCCCAAGTATCTGGGACTACAAGCACACACAACCACCCCTGGCTCATTTTTCCATTTGGGGCCTCGTTGTTGCTCAGGCTGTTCTTGAACTCCTGAGCTCCAGGGATGCTCTCACCTCGCTCTTACAGAGTGCTAGGATTACAGTTGTGAGCTTCTACTCCAGGTTTGTCCCTGCTTTCTTTTTGAGACAGAGTCTCACTATGTCACCTTTGGTATAGTACTGTGGCATCACAGCTCATAGCAACCTCAAACTCTTGGGCTTAAAGCAATTCTTTGCCTCAGTCTCCTAAGTAGCTGGGACTACAGGCGCCCGCCACAATGTTCAGCTAATTTTTGATTGCAGTTGTCATTGTTATTTAGCAGGCCTGGGCCAGGCTTGAACCCAACAGCCTCAGTGTATGTGGCTGGCGCCCTACTTATTGAACTACGGGGGCCGAGCCTATCCCTGCTTGCTTAAGTGAGGCCAGTGAGGCCAGGCACAGTGGCTCATGCCTACTATAATCGTAGCATTCTGGGAGTCCAAGGCGGGTGGATTGCCTGAGCTCACGAGTTTGAGACCAACTTGACCAGCCAAAGCAAGACCTTATCTCTAAAAATAGCCGAGTATTTGTTGGAAGTCTGTAGTCCCAGCTACTTGGAAGGCTGAGGCAAGAGAATCACTTGAGCCCAAGAGTTTGAGGAGGTTGCTATGATCTGTGACACTATGGCACTCTATGAGTTGGCAGGTGCCTGTAGTCCCAGCTATCTCGGGAGGCTGAGGCAAGAGAATCACCTAAGCCCAGGAGTGGGAGTTTGCTGTGACCTGTGATACCATGACACTCTATGAGGGCAATAAAGTGAGACTCTGTGTCTTTAAAAAAATTTTAAAAACCAGTTTGAGTTTGAGACTGTCTCAAAAACAAAACAAAACAGTGAGGCCAGTGGCCCATCAAAATGCCCTTTTGGCCTTAGCTGTTCTGCTTCATTTTCTTACTTTATAAACCCCAAGTCACCCAAAGCTTTATACCCCAGGAAAGTAACTCCCAGAGGGTCCTTTCCAGCCTGACTTGTTACTTGGTGCTTAGCAAGGCTGTGGAAATGCCTTCTAAGGCTGAAGCAGGTTGGATCTAGTATTGTCAATGTTTTTCTCAAGTTGACTCCTACATTTCTGTTTTATAGGAGGCATCTGCCACATGGCCCCCACACCCAGTCTGAGCTTCTGCTCTGTCTTGCTTGAATGAAAGTCAGTAGAAGCTTTTCTAGAGAACTGCAGTCACTGCTTTTCTCTTTTAAACTTGGAACTTTGTTTGCCTCTGAACACTTGCTGCCTTTGGGAGTTTCCTCTTAATTGTTTCATTGGAAGCTCCCCAAAGGCTGTGTTGTTGTCTGGTGCTTTTTTTACTTTCTACGACCACAGGAACTGGCCTCTCACAGCATGAAAAGAGAGTTCTTGGAGTGTGAAAGCCTAGATTAAAAGGATTGGAACCCAAATAAATTAGTCACTTTTATAGAGATGCCTATTGTTTTCTCTTCAGCTAGAAATATCATTTGCTATTATGTTCATAATCTTTGTAACGCTATAGGTGGGATTTTTAAAATTCTGTTTTTAACAATGTCTACTCAAACATAAGGAAGAGAACTTTAAAATTCA